GGAAGTACTGCCCTGAGTCCTGCACTCTGTCTGCAGCGTTTAGCCCATTTGCTCACAGGCCTATACCTATAATGCTTCTATTTCCTATTCACACCACTCCCAACACAGCCTCCATTTTTTTTTCTTTTCTTTTTTTAAAGTGAAAGCTGGTAGAGGAGCCAGAAACCCAGCCACCACTTTCTAGGTTCCTTCTGGAGGGAATGACTGCAGCTCTGATGCTGGCTGTGATCGTACAATGCTGGACCCATGGCTCACCAGGGACAGGTGCTCGGTTATGATTTGTGAATGGGCAGATGAATCAGAATTCTCCATGTGGCCTCTGAAGTAAATAGCCTGAGAGGGGGAGGAGATTTTTCCTTTTTAGTAAGGATATGGCCAAAATAGGAGTGTGAAATGGAACAGGGACTCACGTGGAGGATCTTTTCTGATGGCATCAAAAATACTGGCTTCCCCTAAAGGAAACCACAGTCATTTTTAGTTCCAGCAGAAATTCTTTGTTGGAGGTGTAGCCAAGAAACATTGTGTAGTGGAATTTTCCAAGAGGAAGAAGCACCTGCTTTCCCTGTGGTATCTCTAGGTGTCCATATTCTCCAGGGAGACTCAGTGGACACTGGGAATTGATAGACAAGGTGCTCGAGTTAGACTGCCGGGGCCTGAATGCTGGCACTAGTTGGCTATATTACCGTGGCCTATAGGACTTAATCTCCATGCTCCTTGTTTCCCCTAGTCATAAAATGAGAATTGTGGGCTGGAGAGATGGCTCAGTGGTCTAAAGCACCTATTTGAACAAGCTTAGCAAAGCACAGGGACTGCGGTTCAATCCCCCAGCACCACATGCCAGCCAGCCACGCCCCCTGGTGGGCTGAGCTGGCCACACACACACACATAAATAAAAATAAAAATAAAAATAAAAAAAATGAGAATTGTAATAGTAACCAACTTGAGGAATATTTTAAGAAATACAGGAAAAATTTTGTGGGAAACACGTAGCCCAGTGTCCAGTTCATGTGATGGCTCCAAGGTTGTTAATGATGAATTCCTGTTCCTCCTCTGAGTCTGGCTGAACTTCTGGATTTGATATATTCCATTCCTCTGAGGTGGCGAGGCGCTATATTATAACCTTGCACAGCCATGTATCACTTAACAACTGGGATACATAATTCTAAGAGATGGGTTGTAAGACAATTTCATCATCGTGTGTCTGAGAATGTACCTACGCACCCTTCGATGGTGTAGGTCAATCACTCAGCTTGTCCCTGTGATACAATCAAGAAATTCAGTAAGCACAAGATGTATTCAACCACTGCCAGTATAATGTGGCACATCACTTTACAGCAAACTTTGTTATAAACAGAGAAAATACACTAAAATGAGAAAAATGCAAAGTATCACACACATAAACCAATACCACAGTCATTTATTTTCAAGTGTGAGGTACTGTACATAATTATATGTGCAATTACTGGCAATGCAGTACCTTTGTTCATACCAACATCACAATGAATACACTGAGTAATGCGTAGTTTTACAACTTTGCAACATCTATGATGTGATGTCACTAGGGAATAGAAGATTTTCAGCCCCATTATAATCTTATGAGATCCTTATTACCTGTGCAGCCCATCACAGACCAGAACATCGTTGTTCAGCAGCTGAGTATAGTTATTGCAAGGACATTGGGAGGAAGGAAGGGTGCTGGGCACAGGATAGTGGATGGGTAGGAAAGGATGCTCTATCCTGGCTTGAGACTGAGTCCGGCCCTGATACAGAGCAGGTAATGCTGGCGAAAACAGGCCACGAGTGAACTTAGTGTTGTCTTACACGCAGAGCTGCACGTACCTCTTCCCTGCAGGAGCACGCAACCTTCTAGAAACCCAGGTGCAGGACAGCAACCTTTGCATGGCCCCGACACTCAGACCATCTTGTAATTTAAGGCCAAAGTATTACACAGTACATATGTGCCCATCCAGCATTAGAACCCATCCATTGGCTGATCCATGGGTAGAAAATGGTTACGTTTTGCTTTCTTCTTGTACAGCCAAGTATCACTTAACAACTGGGACACACAATTCTAAGGGATGGGTTGTCTCAAGATTTACTTCTCTCAGATTAAAAGAAAGAGGTCAGAATTTTCTTTGGGGACATGAGTTTCCTTATTCACATTCCAGTGGAATAAAGGAGACTGTTTGAAGGATCCATGTGAATGTTGGGCCTCACTGTCTCTCATTAGACCAAATTCAGTGACACATCCTTCTTTTGGCCACAGTCATGGCCAGGAAAGTGGGCAGTATGGGGTTTAATGATTGACTCTGCCACTTGCTGCAGCTGTTTCTCCTCAGCCACACCATGTAGTTTCCTCATAATGAGTGGGGTGACAATGAATGCCTTCTCTCTGCTTCCACCAAGGGCAATCGGGAGGAAAGAGAGGAAGCTAGGTGATAGGTGGGGCACTGCTAGTATGCACTATAAGATGCAACTAGGAGGCATCTAAAGGCCCCCAGATGGATAAGGTCCAGCTGAAGAATGTGATCTTCACCTTTGTGGTAGAAGGGAGGCATGGAGGATTCTTTAGCAGGTGGGTGGTAGTCAGAGCTAATTTTAGGACTGTGCCTCTGGAGCCTAAATTGCTGTGTGGTTCAATTAGAGAAAGAGCTGCGGATCTTGAGCCAGAAGGGATGGTTAGGTCTGGCAGGCAGCAGAAGCAGAGACATCAAATTGCTGTGGCTCAAGGCTTTCAGTGCCAACTGGAGCTAGCTGCTTACAGAGCTGCTCAGGAAGCATTCAAGTTTCCCAGCTCTACAGTCCAAGAGAAGGCGCTGTGCAGGCTGTTGCCACTGAGATGCCTTCTGGAGTGTGGCCTGGCTGCTGGCAGGGAGCAGAGCCTTCTACCTGGGATGGACAGCACTGGGGTAGGCATGCGAGCTCTGGAGGAGCCTCCAGGTGAAGACTGTCTGTGCCTTGTGTTTCATCAAGGTCTAGGTGAGAAAAAATGTTTTCCTGTTTAGTGTAGGTGTATCACTTCCCAGCATGAAAGTATGAACAGAAGAAGTAGAAGGAGAAAGAAAGGAGAAGGAGGAGGAGGAGAAGGAGGAGGAGGAGGAGGAAGAAGAAGAAGAAGACGACGAGGACGAAGACGAGGCTTCTGGACATCTCTTCTTTCAGTAAGGAAGTGTTATGGTTTGTGTGTTGAGTTGTCCCTGCCAAGCCTCATGCAGTCATGGGGTGGTTTCTAGAGTCTGTAATCAATTTTTGGTCCAATGCTTGGATTATGGGTGTGAGTGCTACACATGCCTTGGGGCGGATAATCTGAATTACAGTGTAAGAAGGGAAGAGATGCCAGCTAGCAACCAGGGCTGCTGCGCCTCCCTTTTGCTCTTTGCTGTTTTCTGCTGCCATGAACTCTTGCCCCCTGCCTTGTGCCATTCTGCCTTGGAGCCCCCTGGGTATGGACTGAGACCTCCACTAACTGTGAGCTAAATAAACCTTTTTTTCCTTAATTTTGAGTGTCAGGTATTTTGTCCCAGCAACAACAGTAACCAAGACAGGAAGAAACTACATAGGATTTGGTGATGAGAAAATGAAGGTGTAGTCCTTTACCTGCAAAAAAAAAAAAAAAAAAAAGTCCAACTTTAGGCAATCATTTTTCCTGTCTGGGGTGGTTTCCTTATCTGCTAAAACTGATGGAGCAGTACCAGCCAACAGGAACATTTCATGAGCCACAATTGGAGCATCTACATTGTCTTAATATAGTACCATGTGACAAAAAGAGAAAAAAGGTGAAATTATTGAAAAGCATTTCCCACATTTCAGTGCACCAGAGGGATTATAATTTCAGCATGTAATTGACATAAAACAATACTGGTGTGATTGTGTGTCCTTCCTTTCCTACTGAGTCTTTAACACCAGGCATGCCCTTTACATGCATGATGCAGCTCAATTTGAATAGGCAGCATTTCAAATGCTCCGTGGCCATGTATGACAAGTGTGCATTGTACCAACTGACCCAGCTTCAGGGTCTCTGGAGCCTGAATTTAGAGTATGTAATTGTGAGAGGGATTATGTTTTGCTGCAGTCAAATGATTTATGTTAGAAGGGATAGCTCCTTGATGTGTATTTTAAAACTCATACAAAATCTGTCTCCCTTCCTTCCAACCAGGGGATCCCTAAGGAAGTTATGGGACATTTATTCCACTAAACTCAGAGCTGGGATTGTAAGTCCTGGCTTCACCACTAACTGGTGGAGAGTTTTTGGGCTAGTTATTTTTTTTATCTTTTCTAAACCTGTAATTTTCTGATGTATCAAATAGTTATGACAATATCATATGGATTAAAAATATATAAAGACAGATCAAATAAAATAATATACATAAAATGCCTAGCTCAAGGTCTGTTTTTTTTTTTTAGGAGGGGTGTCAGCTCAGCCCACCCTGGAGGCAGGGCTGGCACAGCATGTGGTGCCAGGGATCGAACTACAGACTTTTCATTTGCCTAAGCAGGTACTTTAGTCTACTGAGCCATCTAGCCGGCCCAAGGTCTGGCATATTTTAAACCCTTGCCTATGACAGATATTATTATTATTATTATTACTGTTCTTGTTGTTATTATGCTGTGGAGCCAAAACTAAAATCTAAATAACATATGGTGAAAATTTTTTTCTTTTTTTCTCCTTGGGAGAAATATTAGCAGTTCTAGGCCTTAGGACAAGGATGACAGAATTGTGGTACTAGGCCCGCATCTCTGTGTCTCTGTGTCTCCATTTCCCCCTTCTCTCCTCTCCTCTCCTCTCCTCTCCTCTCCTCTCCTCTC